AGCCTTCCATTTTTTGAGATGCATCTCCCTATTTGTACAACTATGTATATGTATGCATGTGTCTGTGTGTGCACATGTGTGCATAGGGCTTTCACGTCAGTTCATTGATTAAAGTACGGAGCAGACCAAATTCTGCTTTGCGCAACAGGTGGTCAAAATATGCAGATCTTGGTTTTTTTGGTCAGCTACGGTGTGATATCACTTTTGTATCCAGCAACACGACTTCAAAATCTTATTTTAACTATATTTGCCGTTTCAGTAATGCTAAATGGTTATTGTCCGACTTGCTCAACTTGGCGTAGACCACCGGATTGGCGTTACTGCATCAAAGAGGTAAGGAAAATTACGAAATATGTTCACTATTCTTGCTTTTTGTCCTCGCGTTTGTTAACTGTAAAATGACCACTTCATTTAACACTTAAAATAGCCTCGAATCACAGGTCGTGCTATATGTGCAAAAAGCGATTTCCAATCTTCGACTCAATGCTCTGTCACTTCATTGAAGCACATATTTGTGAGTTTGCTTCCTTTAGATCCGGCTGAGTCTAATGTGCTCACATGCTCTGCCGTATTTTTGTCGTCTAATGTGAACTCTTCCTAACTTTATGTTTCACTGTTATATGTTGCAGTCCAAACACGGATGATTCAAGGGTGAGCCTTTACTGCACAGAATGCTACGCAGACTATCCCACGTTGGATGAACTGGAAGAGCACATAACCTCATGTCATCTTTGTAGGTTTTCCCCTACCTCTTATTTTATTTTTTCTTCTTGGTTTTTTCTGACTTGCAGACATATGGCGCGGATTGTTTGAGTTGAATGGGATGAAACGTTATTCGGTCGGCAAAGTTTGTATGTTTCTAGTGACATTTGTGCTACTTCAATACCTTTTTTCAGGACCGACTACTTAATAGGCCTTGACCATTCACTTTGTACAGTATGTAATGGCACCACAAAAATAAGACACATAAGTCACGAAAAGCGGTGAATTTGTATGTGCAAAGTTAACCTCTCACTGCTTAGTCAAATCAATAAGGCGAACTTCGCATTCATTTGCCTGCATAAAATCTCATTGTTGATTTAAATAGTTACGGACAATGACACAGAAATGTTACAAGTTCAACAGATAGCCGTGGGTTTATTAGCTAGCAGCTTTATTTAAAGTGAAATGCACCTTTGACAATAGATATAGTAATCATAATTTTTTTGTGCTGTAGTGCACTCCAACGAGCTAGCCCAACTTACTTCATAAATAGTATGCTCAGCTAAGTGCTATACGCATTGCTCCCTGCGTAGGTGAATATTTTAACCACTTAGTTGAATGGTTTCGGCTATCCATGACGGGATGAAAATCATTAAAATCTAGGCGACTCTTTTAAATGCATTCCAAAGAGCTCGAATAGACAAGATTTGGGGGAAAAATCTTACTTACTTTTACCTACTTCTCCCATCTGCTTATCCTAAAAAAGACTGAAGTGAAATCAACCTGGGTGTTATAAGAGTATAAGGATCAGCAAATAGGAGATCTACGAGTCTCGCTCTCAAATTCTACTTGTTTCACTCAATCCACTGATCTACATCTACACCGTCCGTATTTGGACCACCATCTTTTAGAGACAACCCTGCCTTTCTTGACTTCGCATAGCGCGAATTCAACCATAATGTCCATTTACTGGCAAGAGATGTCTCCTAGAACAATAACAGCCAGATAGATAAATAAATAGGTAGGTAGATAAATAAGCAGATGAGCTGACTGGGAGGTATAGAGGCAGATAGCAAAGCATCCTGTTGATTTCGTCACAAGTAAATACATGTTACATTATGAGAACGTTTATTATTCAAAAGCTGCACAGAGTATAACAAAATTAAAATTGAGAATGCATAAAATTTTCGCCAAAAACGCAAGGTTTTACAGCTCAAATTAGACTTTGCTTCTAAAGGTTTTTAGGTTACTATTATTTCATGCTTTGAATTACTACCTATTTTCTTAATTTACCCAATTTTTTGTTTGTTTATTTGTTTTGTTCTGGGCTTCTGCTGCTCAATAAGACATTTTTAGGCAAACTCGTTGGTTGAAGTAGACAAGCATTCCTCGAAGACGAAGTAACTACTATCGACAAGGTATGAAATTGTAAAGCATCGCAGAGGTAGTGAGTATTTCATTGCACTCTACAAGGCAAGTATGATAAAGGAATAAGTTCAGTTTTCCTCATTTCCACTATGTTGCTGTCAGACAAACGGAAAACAATAACTCTCGTAGAAATAATAGGTTTTGATCCTATTTGATAGAAAGTGGACAAGTGTAGCTTTTCCGTTTAAGTGCGAACGATGTGGAATCAAATCGGATGGAGCATAAATCCTGCGCACTTCCCAGATTAGACAAATTATTGATGAGTGGAGTTTGGTCCTGTAATACGAACTGAATGGAGAAGAAATGGTGTCTGGCTCAAATGCCATGTTCCGGTCCTATTTGGCAGAAAATAGACGAGTGTAGTTATTTCCTATTGGAGCAAGCGATCTGAGATACAGTGGGATCGAGCACAAAGCCCACGATCTCCACAAACTAGGAAAAATATTGACTTGTGGAGTTTTGAACTGTAAAATGAACCAAACAGTTACAAAAGTGTATTGCGCGTGTGCCCCATACTTCGCATTTATTTGTCAGATAATGGGCGGTGCAGATTTTTTAACGAGCGACGGAATCGTTAGCAAATCAGATGGAGCACAAATCTCACATTCTTCTAAAATTTGGCATTATATGGTAGAGTTGCGCATACTATTTCTAATATGCAGGCTTCCAATTTGAGGTAGAGGTGTTGAACAACAGTCTTAGTACTTCTTAATCGCCTGCCTGCTTAATACCACGTTTTTGATGCAAAATCGCTTTGTTGTCCATGTCAAGTTCAGAATATAGGTATCGAAGCACAATTTCGCTCAATGCACAGTAGCAAGGGGATTTCATCATCTTCTACAGCAGGCCCCACTCTACATCCCCTTCAACAGCTACATCGATGTATATACTGCTGAGCATAGCTCTCTACCACTAATACTCTAGCTTGAACAATCTCCTGCCAACACGTCACTGGTCCATTTACTACTTATACTGAGTACCGCAAAGTAAAATGCCTCCTTTTGAATTGCATTATGCACATTTTTAAAAAAGATTGTGCTATTATCCACTGTGGGTTGTAG